ATGTTGCTCTTTTGTTGAAACTGCAAATGAAAGGTAAAGGATCCCTTTTGGCCATTGAAACTTTTCAATCAGAGCTGGAATTTTGTCTTTTTATGATGTATTTGAAGAAGAAGAAGAAGAAGAAGAAGAAGAAGAAAAAGAAGAAGAAGAAGAAGAAGTAGTAGTAGTAGTAGTTATAGAAGCGTAACTACAGCACGAGAGAAGAATAAGTCGAAATTAGATCAAGCAGGGGAATGAAAAATAAATTAAAAACGATGAAAGCAAGAAGATTAAATGAAGAAGACGATGAAGAAGGAAAAATATAAACGATTGATGTAGTAAAAAAGGAGAGTAAAATAAAAAAAGAAGAGAATAAAGAAACAAAAAGAGGTAAAAAAACACCCAATAAAAAAGAAATAAGGAAGCACAAAAAGTAAAAATAACAGGCATTAATTGCAAAAAGAGGTTTTCTATTTTTTCTTGGCACTGCGAGTTCAAATCTCGAACATACCTCCAAAATGGATATTAATATTTTTAAAATTCTTGAAGCTAATATTACTAGTTCCAAATCCTAAAGCTATTATATTTCATGGTAAATCAAGTTTCAAATGTAAGGAATCAGCACATGTGCTAGGCCACAAAAATCTCCTGAACCGACTAAGCTATGGGAATCAGTAATAAGGAGTGCCAGAGAAAAGCGATAATAAAATTACAATATGAGCTCTGGTAAAAACATACACTGATAACAGCAAAAATTGCAATATGAGCACTGGTAAAAAATGGTTGCTGAAAACATTAGGTTTATAATACACAGAAAATTCTACACATTGTAGTGCACATGGCACAGTGGATAAAGGCGTTGGTTAGATCCAGTGACAGACCCAAAGAGTGTGAGTTCAAAACCCGGTTACTTTCATAGGGAAAATTAGCAAAACATGGCACGTGGAACTAGAACAGTCGAAATGAAGGTCGAAACGTTGTGACAAATATGGACTAATGTAAATACTGTACATAATACCTCATCTCAGAAATATAGACAGACAGATGTCCTCACATGGCACAGTGGATAAAAGCGTTAGTTAGATCCAGTGACAGGACCCAAAGACTTGTGAGTTCAATAACAGGAGATAACTGACATCCATTAGACATGGCACGTGGAACGTGAAATACAGTGAGCGAAATAAAGGGTTCAGTTCGACATTCCAACCACCTGTCACGTTGTGATAAATATGGCAACAAAGATAAGGAGAGTAGTCCGAATAATGTAAATAGTGTACATAATACCTCATCTTAGAAAAATAATGAAGTTTCAAATTTGCCTCTTACAAGAGCCAAATCAGGCCAAAATTGGAGTGCTGGCAGAAGACAGTCCAAAGGTGTCTCCGCGTCCTTGTGGGTGACAAATTATTTTCCACCCTGCAACCCCTTTCGCCTCAAGCCTCTCGCTGCTCTATCATTATTTACATGGAAAGTGTTCAGATGAACTATATTCCTTAGTTCCACCAGTTCTAACCTTCACGGCTAAGACGCGCCATGCTACGCACCCTGTAGCGAACCACCGTCATTCCCTTCAGACTCCACTCGAACAGCTTCTTCACACGAGCCGTTGCTTTGTGGAACTGACTCCCAAGAAGATGCCTCTCCAATCACTACAATCTTAACCTGTTCCAGTCTGGGGTTGACCGTTATCTTCGTCATATATCCATAAACTGTATCTCTTAAGCTTTACTTTCAGGCCTTGTACAGGGTGAGCATAATTGCATATATATATATATATATATATATATATATAAAACATTAGGCAGCATATGATTTACATACAAAGAAATAATCACACATAGAATTAATCAGAAGTATCAATGCGATTATTGGCGACATCCGTCACTAGAAAACATAATATATGCATTAAAATCCTGTTCATCCATAGTGCGAGTTTTGATCCTTGAAGAAAAACTTGTTGTCTGTAGTTTTTCAGTTTATTCGATGTTAAAATGCTGTACTTACGGACGGTCTTCCATCCATCATCAGGCATGTGTTTTTTTTCCCTTATAAAATCAAAAACTTGAGACGATATACCTGTATGTCGACCGAAAGATGTTTTTTGAATATCTGCTATTATTGACGGTTGTAAGATATCGGAACGTGCAAAGACGCAACGCTAAGTTTTTCAAAATTTTAAGTGAGAATTTTATTTAAATATTTCTTGTGATGTGTTAAATCCACGTATTCTATTTTTACAAGTGTATTCAGTTTTTATGTCATGAACTAAGTATATAGTTCAATAATATAGTGTAATGTCATAATAGTAATTTTTTTATAGGAATTTTTATGTACTGCGGATCGATAGTTTTTTAATAAACATAAAACATTAGGCAGCATATGGTTTACATACAAAGAAATAATCACACATAATTAATTTCTTTGTATATATATATATATATATATATATATATATATATATATATATATAGATATAAACAGATGCAAATTATATCAAACATTAACCTTTATCAAACGACAGTAACAATTACAGTAGCCTTATTCTCTGACCTATTCGCTGCCTTATTCTATGTTCAATGGGTTGCCTTATTCTAAGTCAAATTACGAGCCCTAGCTCTTAATTATTTGCAAATTATAAGGCCTAGCTCTTAGCTACTAATACATTATAAGACCTAACTATTAGTTATTAGCTATTAGTAAATTATGAAACTTGGTTCTAAGCTATTAGCAAATTATGGTACCTAGCTCTTAGCTATTAGCTGTTAGTAAATTATAAGACCTGGTTCTTAGCTGTTAGTAAATTATAAGAAACTTATAAAACCTAGTTCTTAGCTATTAGAAAATTATGATAGCTATGTTAGCAAATTAGACTTAGTTCTTAGCTAGCTGTTTTATGAGACCTAGTTCTTATTATTGTGTTAGTTAAACTTAGTTCTTGGCTATTAGACCTGGTTCTTAGCTGTTAGTAAATTATAAGACCTGGTTCTTAGCTATTAGCACATTATAAAACCTAGTTCTTAGCTATTAGAAAATTATGATAGCTCTTAGCTATTAGCTGTTAGCAAATTATGAGACTTAGTTCTTAGCTATTAGCTGTTAGCAAATTATGAGACCTAGTTCTTAGCTATTAGCTGTTAGCAAATTATGAGACATAGTTCTTAGCTATTAGCTGTTAGCAAATTATGAGACCTAGTTCTTAGCTATTAGCTGTTAGCAAATTATGAGACTTAGTTCTTAGTTCCTAGTTCTTAGCTATTGGCTGTTGTTAGCTTATGAGACCTAGTTCTTAGCTATTAGCTGTTAGCAAATTATGAGACTTAGTTCTTAGCTATTACTGTTAGCAAGTTACAAATTTCCTATTAGGTTATTTTTTTTAGCTATTATGTTAGCAAATTATGAGACCTATTCAACAAGCTGTTAGGACATAGTTCTTGGCTATTAGCTGTTAGATTGTCTTAGTTCTTAGTTTCCTGTTAGCAAATGGAGACTTAGTTCTTAGAATTCCAAATTATGAACTTAGTTCTATCAAGCTGTTGAAATGGAGGTTCTTATATTTTTAGCCATAGTTTAATTCTGTTAGCAAATTATGAGACTGTTCTTAGATCTTAAACTTAGTTCTTAGCTATTAGCTTTAAAATCTTAGTTCTTAGCTATTATTTTCTTTGTTTCTTAGCCATTCTCAAATTATGAGACTTAGTTCTTAGCTTTTTCAAATTATGAGACAACACAGCTGTTAGCAAATTATGAGACTTAGTTCTTAAAAATGTTAGCAAATTATGAGACTTAGTTCTTAGCTATTAGCTGTTAGCAAATTATGAGACATAGTTCTTAAAGGTTGTTAGCAAATTATGAGACCTAGTTCTTAGCTATTTTACAAATTATGAGACTTAGTTCTTATATTGTTAGCAAATTATGAGACTTAGTTCTTATATTCGTGTTAGCAAATTATGAGAAATATTACTGTTAGTTTATATCATAGTTCTTAGCTATTAGCTGTTAGCAAATTATGAGACCTAGTTCTTAGTCTGTTAGAAATTATGAGACTTAAACCAAGTAAATTTCCCAGTTTTTTTCCCAATGTGATTCAACAACGCAATTGCTCCCGCGTAGATTGTCTAGGTTTCCGCATTTGGTTACAGGGAATTCCATTTAATGCTATCAAGTATTGATGGAGGATATTTTCCCGGCTTAATTCTGTCTAGGTTGTTATCTTAAACTCCTCTTCTTAATCTAGCCTTTATTTTCTTTGTTTCCCATTCTCGTTACAAATCCCCTTTTCAACAACACAGCGTAACGAAAAAATATTTATAACAATAATTAAGACAAAGACAAAGGTTTAATGCCTTCTCGATTCAAAAATGGACCATGGACAGTGGTCGATTCGACCATAGATGGGTCGTCCCTCGACGGTCTTAAAGAAGCCACCTTCTCGACAAATGGACCATGGTGGGATTCGACCATGGACGGGTCGCTGACGGTCTAAGCACTCGAACAAGAGCCCACCATAGGACGTACTATAGTTGATGAACATTACAAGCCTAAGTGCTGATTAAGACTAAGAGACAGATTTCACTAATGTAGTTAAAAGAAAGAGAAATTTGACTCATTCGTAAAGTATAAAGAAAACAAACATTATTAAATTTAAATTCACTTAACTTATGAATTTTTCTACGAGACATTCATATTAAATTCTGTTCTATGAAGGTCACTCTCGATACTGAGGCTAACATAGTCTGACACAAGGTCACCTAGTGAGAACTGCACCCACTACCCATGTGTATTGGTGTTCGGGTCGAACTTGTTAACACTCTCATTACAGGTGTCACCAATAGTAAATGATAATGTATCCAGTCTTCAGGGTTTCACAAATACACACAAATATATATATATATATATATATATATATATATATATATATATATAATTGACCGGTTTTCCTCATTTGACTGCTGTTATTGTTGTAGCTTTGGATGTGTCTTTCTGCTTATGAGAAATATCTCGCCAGCAGCCATACATTATGAATGAGCACTGCGTATGAACACCTGCAAGGAGCAGAATATGTGAAGCAGACGGCCAACAAAGGCACACATTGTCACCGCTTCTTTAAGATTCCTACGCCACGAACAATAACTCCTGCCGTTTTCTGGCCTGATTTTGACTGCAGCCGGCGGCGTCCTTCCTTCCTTGTACCTTCTCATTCTCGAGGTTGATTAGCTTTTACTGTTTAGCCACAACAGATTGTTATCTATCTATCTATCTATCTATCTATCTATCTATCTATCTATCTATCTATCTATCTATCTTCATCTGTATTTTGTCTATCTATCTATCTATCTATCTATCTATCTATCTATCTATCTATCTATCTATCTCATTTTGGTTGTATTTATCTCTCGCTTTCTATCTATCTATCTATCTATCTGGCCTATTTTGATCTATCTATCTATCTATCCTCTGGCCTGATTTTGACAAGCTTCCGTCCTTCCTTTTGTATCTTCTCATTCACGAGGTTGATTAGCTTTTACTGTTTAGCCACAACAGATTGTTTATCTATCTATCTATCTATCTATCTATCTATCTATCTATCTATCTATCTCATTTTGGTTGTATTTATCTCTCGCTTTCTATCTATCTATCTATCTATCTTATTTTATTTGTATTTATCTATCGCTTTCTATCTGTCTATCTATCTATCCGTCTATCTTTTTTAGATCTATCTATCTATCTATCTATCTATCTATCTATCTATCTATCTATCTATCTATCTATCTATCTCATTTTGGTTGCATTTACCTTGCGCTTTCTGTCTATCTGTTTACCTTTTCATATCTATCTATCTATCTATCTATCTATCTATCTATCTATCTATCTATCTATCTATCTATCATTTGATGGTCTGTTTATAGGTCGATCCATTACAATCAGTTTCACGTTTCGATTTCTCCTTATTTAAATCTATCTTAATTCTCTCTCACTCTCTCTCCCTATCTATCTATCTGATGGCCCGTTTATATTACAATCAGTTTTTTTTTTCACTTGAACTGAATCTAGCTATCTAAGTCTGTTTTCATTCACCCATCTATTCATACTTTCTCAACTTATCCACTTTTGTACCAATTGCTCTAGTATGCTGAGAAATACCTTGTCTATGTAGTCTACACTTAAACATATTTGATGGCGCGTTGTTTTATTATTTATAACAATTATTTCCTAAATACATTATAACATTAAAATGAATTCTCATCCATGTGTCTATCTGTTCTGTTCACCCTACAATCAGTAATATAGGCTAAATTTATGTCACATCTTTTACGCATAAAACCAGACCCATCTTTTTTCTTCTGCTAAACTGAATTAAACCAGTAACGCTCCAAGGTCAAATAACAGCCCAACCTAAATAACTTCTTTGCGCATATCAACACATATTAATTCTTTCTAGTTCAACGCGCATGCGTTAAAATGCAGTGTACTTAGTTGTTAAAATTGCGGGCAGATGAATTATTATCATATTCTGCTAAATCTTTTGTTATGGTCATTGATAATCTCGAGGTAAAAAATAATATAGTTCTCTCTAGAGAACTGTGTTCGTGTAGGATTTATCATGAGTAATATCAGATAAAAAAGGAGAATTATATTTACTAAGCTATATTTAGTTTGAAACAAGGCCAAATACAATCAAATGAGGCGAGGATGATTGTGTTACGTCAGCGTACAACGAAAGGACATGTATTTATCAAGCTTAACACAGCACTAAGACAACTGGGTGACAAAACTGTGTTACACGAGTATTCATAATAAGGATAACGTTTTCCTTGAAAATCGATAATCTAAATTCTAACTTCTATGCCTCTGACATATACGTAACCATTTTTAGCCGTAAGATAAGTATTTATTCAGTATAGCTTAGCAAGACGCAAAGTTAAATGTAGAAGATTGTGTTGCGCTAATAACCAAATAAAGTTTGCTTGTCTAAAAATCAACGTTCAAGATTCCGATTTCGAACACTAATAGAAAATGCGCGCCTATTTCAGCCAAGAATCAGTTCAATAAATGTTGATATTTATTTAACTTTTATACAACAAGTGATCAGTATCAAGGAAGATTGTGTTACGCCAAATGTTCAAGTGAGAAAAGCATTCCTGTCTAGAAAATGGGCACCCGGAATTCTGGCTTTTACCTAAAATCGAATCTGAACCTCAACAATGAATCCAGCTGATTATTGTTGATATTTTCTTAGCTTAATACAACACTAGATGAAATTACAGCAAGGAAAATTGTGTTACACGTGACTCTCAGGTGGGAAAAGATTTCTTGCGTAAAAAATGGACACACAGAATCAGCTTACGCTTAAAATCGAACCTCAACGTCAACTATGGAGCCAGTTAATTAATTTAATATATTTTGCTTGTAATATAGCCACCGAAAACTAATATCAACATAAATTCTGATGTTTAATCAAGATTTTAGGAAGTGGATCAGGCCAAGAATTTTTAGCACCTTTTCGTAGATCATTTTCTTGTTGTTTCGGTTCGAGAAAGGTTTCTCATTGCCGACCAGCAAACTGCTTGCAGAAGACGTGAAACAAAACTTGTGTAGCAAAAATTAATTCCGGTGTTATTTTGTTTGAAATCATCATTTTTTTTGACAGCCAATTTGCAGGAATACACCGGAGAATCAAGACATTTTGTTAATGCACATGTGAGATAAAATGACATTCAAGTAGATATAGTTTAATTAATATTCACATCCACATGTAGATATAGTTAATTCGCCAGGATTTGAACCCGGATCGTCGCTTTCTCTTTCTGCACCAAATAAACATTATACGACCTATTATTTTTAATATAAGCACATCACATTAACATCTTCGATTCCACAAATATAAGATTTTTTCAGAGAAGAGAATTTTGTTAAAAAATAAAGGTTCTTAAAAATGAACAAATGGTCATGCGAGATAAAAAGTATCTTTCTTTGAAAAAAAGATGAAACATTGCCTAGTAATATAGGTTATTCCTTTCTTACAGCTTTCCTTTACTACCTGGTCTAGGAGTCCCTGAAGTTTTACTTTCTACATTTCAATGAATTTCCTTAGGGTTGATAGTGGATCTTTTTTTCTTGTTGCCTTCTCTACAGAGATTTTATCGAGACACAATCTCCAGTTAACTGGCTGTTGACTTATCTGGAGGCTCATAGAATAGCAAAAGAGACCTTCCAAAGATTGAACATAGAAAGGAAAATTCGTCTGCTATGTAATATCAATTGTTCTAAATGGCAATGAATGCTGGACAATGTTCTCACTGGTGAAGAAGAGACTTGAGTCAACAGAAATGTGGTTCTACAGAAGGATGCTCAAAACCAACGAATAAGTTTTAAGGAAAATGAAAACAAAGAGAAAACTTATACTTAAAACCAGAAAAATGACAGTTGAAATTTCTATGTCTGAAAATAAAGAAAGAATGCTCGGAGAATTTGACAGATGGTGTGCTGAAGGCAAGTGGGACGGAGGAAAACAGAGAATAACTTATGTAGCAAGCTTGCATATATCGGTGGAATAACAGGTAGTAGGAAGCGTATTAAAAGAACAAGCATTGATAAGAGTTACAAAGGTTAGGAAGTTGTTGAGAGCCATGATCATATATGTCCTCAAGGAACACGTAATATAAAAAAGCACTCGTTTGTAGGAAACCTGAATATTTTGTTCCGATGCTTGAAGTAATAAATGTGATTTCATTTATCCGCCACCTCTCGAGAGTTGGGGAAAAAAACTCGTTCTAAAATTGTATCTGAAGAAAAAAAACAAACAAACAAACGTAGCGTATAAAAAAACAAGGGCAAGTCACTCCGATATTTTAATGGCAGATAATAGCTCTTTATTGGACTAAATAATTGTTTAAGTAACGTATTTATGCTTTCACATACTTTTTGGCGCTAACACAATATGCGTGTTGCAAAGAAAGCTTGTGTATCGAATTTCAGCTCAAGCTATCTTTTACTGTTATTGTTGAGAAAACTTTTCCTCCAACCACATAGGGATTGTCCAAGCGTAGCTGTGGCACAAGGCCGAAAGCATGGGGTACCCAGTGAGGATCGAACTCACTTTTCAGTAGTAACTGACCTTGCAAGACAAGCTTGCTAACCATTACACCACGCCGAAAAGACGCATGCACGCACATGCGCAGATGGACACACTTATACACGTACACATGCAAGCACACATATATGATTCTTTACATATAATATTTTTCTAATAATTTGGAAGTTTATTTTCTGTGGTAAAAGCGACATTTATCGGGGTGTACTTTATACGAATTTCATTATTTTTCAGGGGTAAGTGTACTTACTGTAGCATAAGTGTACTTTTTAAACAAGTGCAGTGTAAATGCAATTTTCGTTGGCAAGAATACTTTAAATCATTTCTGCAGTAAAATTGTTCTTACGGCAGCGTGAGTGTACTTTCTGTGGTGCAAATATATTTTGTATATTGTGAGTATATTTTCCGTATAGAAAGTGTAGTGTAATGTATTTGGATTTTGTGCCTTGCGTATTTACGTTTGTAATATTAGTTCTGGGTATGACGATAAACTCCATCCGGCAGCAAGTCCTGTGATCAGGAGATTGGAGGTTTTGAGGAGCGTGGAAACATCTCTTAATTGCTACTGTTCCCATGTCCACCTTGCCAAGGGGTGGTAGCACCTGTTAGTGACCCAGTTATAGGCAAATAATGAACCCACAAAACAATCACAAAACACCATGACAGTATAAAAGTACATTTTTATAGTAAAATTACCAACAATACATATTTATAGTAAAATGACTAACAATACAATTTTATATGTAGTTGAAGCAATAAATAGGTGTTCAAAATATTTAGATTTCGGCATTAAATAACCCACAGAGATTAATATGCTGCTAAAAAAATCAATCAACAAACTTCTTTAATGTAGTACCCTCTGTAGTGAAAGTGTACTTTTTATAGACAAGTACACTTACTACAGGGTAAGTGTACTTTTTGCTGTGCAAATACACTTTCTATCATATAAGTTCTTTCAATAATAAAAGTGTTATTTCTCTCTGGTGATAATATACTTTCGGTGGTGCTGTTATTCTTTTTATGGTGTAAGTGTATTTTCTGAAGTTGAAATATATTTTGTGTAGTGTAAGTGTATTTTCTATATAGAAGAAGAGAAAGGATTATCATATATATATATATATATATGTATGTATGTATGTATGTATGCATGTATGTATGTATGCATGTATGTGTGTGTGTGTGTTTAACAGGCATGTTTGATAATCCTTTCTCTTCTTCTATATAGAAAATACACTTAAAACAAAGTCTGATTATCAGTTATAATTAGCCTATGGATCGGAAGAGTACACACACACAGACATACATATATATATATATATATATATTATAACTGATAATCAGACTTTGTTTATCAAACATTTCAATGTTTATTTAAAAGCAGTTAAACTATTCTGTCTCTTAGACTATAAATTAATTTTCTAAAATTTTCCGTCCGATAATGTATATTTTAATATCAAATTTTAGATAGATGTTGTAGATAGATACATTTTGCTATTTTCTGAGTACTTCTTTTTATTTCTTTTTATTTGAGTTTGCATCTTAGCTGATATATATATATAGCTGATATATATATATATATATATGTGTGTGTGTGTGTGTGTGTGTGTATGTGTGTGTGTGTGTGTGTAAAGATACATATATACACACAAAATGTAGAGAGAGAGAGATAATACCTTCAGCTTATTGTAAAATAAACAAAAATGTAAAGCAGAAAGCAAGGATTCAACAATTAAAAACAATATTTAACAAAATATCTATGCATATGCTGAGATAGATATATAAGTAGTTATTTATGTATGTG